ATGTGGCGGAAACGGAGCTACTGAGTTAGGAATTACAAATTCTAGCACACAAATATGCTGTCTGTCTGCCAGACTACACGGCGTCACACGCTAGATGTTCTTAATCCTGGTCTCAGTTCTCTGAACACATCAAACGGCGCAATACTCCCTGATATGTGTCCGTGAGCAAGCAGACTTGTAGCGAATTGTTGTTGCGCGTCGGTAGGGGGGGGGGTTGAGTGAAAAAACACATTTACATTTAAATGCAGAGAGATGAGATGAAAAAATATAGACGGACTGATATAACTCCCATTATTTTTTGTGCGAACAATGAATTCTATTATTACTAAAATTTACTTCTAATACTGTTAAAATTGCGTTGTGTTATTCTTGAAATTGAGTTGTATTATTCCTAAATTTAAATATAGTTAATGTACTTTTATTCCCTAAAATTGATTATTCAATATTCCAAAATTTGACTTATTTTATGCCGAAAATTGAGTTGCATATTCCTAAATTTAGTTACATATACCTAAAATTCTATTATTCATTCATCATTAATCTGTCAGACGACAGGTCCACAGTCTCTTCCAAAACAGTTCCTCCACTTAATGCGATCTAGAGCTTTCTCCTTCAAATGAGAATATCCTCTTCTATCCCCAAGGTCATCCAGCATCTTCTTACGTCTTCTTTCTCGTCTTCTGGTCACTTCTATCCGCCTCTCTCTTGCATACACGGTATCTCTGTTTTTGGAAAGAGACTATCCAGGAAAAGTGATAATGTGGTAGTTTTTCCATTTGCTTTCCACATCGCAGTACAACAGCCGTTCAAACCACTCTGGTCACGCCTGTTGCTATACGAACTTGAACCATCGCGAGCATCATTTGCTCTGTGCTTCAAGTCGCTGCTGATGACGCTGCTTCCGGCATCAGTTTTTGGTTTTTGGTATCTCTCTTCGTCTGATGCCTACCCTTTGACCTGTCCAGCAAGGGAGGCCCTGCCAGCAGCTACGCTACCGCTGGTATAGCTCTCAAGGTTCTTTGCATACTCAAACCTCCTCACCACGATAAGTTGGAGACACCAACGAGGGGGAATTCTATTATATTCTTCCTAAAATCGATTTGCATTGTTCCAAAAATTGTGTTGTATTATTTTGAAAATTGACTTCCGTTATTTCAAAATTTAGCTATATTATTCCTAAAATTGAGTTTCATAATTTCTAGAATTTTCGCTCATGCGGAGAAGTGGGCTTCAGATAACGGATGTTCTGTTTAGGTTCACTGATAACTTGATTATTGATCTTAGTCCAGTTTTGCCCGCATAGCGTCCGCCGTACATAGCCCCACATGTCTCCCCACTTCCTCAGCTGTGGGCATTAGTGTTGCTCCCTCAAGAGCCAGCGGTACAGCACAAGGTAAGACAGGAGTGACGTAAGGGCGCAGGATGGGGCAGCATGAGATTAAATGGAAAGTAAGGTGTGCGTTTGTGCCGCTAGAGTTCAATTCCGTCAAGGACATTTTGAGGGATAGTTGCAGTTCGATTCCCTGCAGAGTCACATCCTTTCTTGGGCTTCTTCCAGTCAGTTGGACTATTGACTGCAGAAAAAATGACACTTTTAGGTTGACTTCGACCCATGCAGTATCCCTGAAATGACTACTACTGCTACTCAACCCTATGGGCCCTCACGGCTTGTTACAAGGGTAGCCTTACTTTATTTACTATTACTTACTCCTACTACTGGGCCTGTTTAGATTATGACGTGTTTTATGGCATGATTGAACCCTAAAATCTTTCTGAAGTAGACAGAAATCTATCCAGAATTTCAATGAAGGATTTAAGAATTTAAATCACAACGGTAGCTATATGTACCGCCTGCTTAAAACATTAAGAAGTTCAGCACATTGCCCACATAGTGTACCAATGGGTTTCGATGATTTGCCTAAGCAGCTTTAATCGATTTTTCTTCTGTGAGAACTTGAAATCTCACTGAACATTACGAATGCATAGGCCCATGAGCTGACATAATTTCTACATGCAAAGTGGAAACAGGCTACAGTTGTGACATAGTTGAAAATACACTTGTACCTGTCGTTAATCAGGCAACACAGTATGGAAACTTGTTGGGAACTGGAGGTGTAGCTCCACGCATTCTCAACCTCGGCGCTAGATAGATTGGTGCATGGTCTATCCTACGAACCTGTCAATATTGTAATGTGTACAGCCGTTGCTATGCAACGATCGCAAGATAAACAGATATACCAGAGTCGTTTCTAGGCAACAGCTCTATAAACACGTTCCCTCAGAAAAAAGATACGAATGCAAAAATGGTACAGGAACAGAGGAACTGTGATTTCCGTGTGGTCCGTGCCGAGGGGTTACAAACGAGACGAGATTTAGAACTTAGACAGTTGATGGCCAGGCTGTGAAGAGAAGACTTTATGTGTGATATCTGGAGTGTGTAATTCAATGAGACTTTTATAGTTCCTGTGTTAATATCCGTTGCTATGAAACGGCTAGTGGGGACCGTAATAGACTGAGGACACCAGCTTCTGTGTATCAGTGATCTGCAAAGTGTAATCGCGAGACGTGAGTGTATAGGTGGTCAATAAATTGAGTCACCAATCCAGACCCCGTGTAGTTAGGGTATATAAAGTCGAACTGGGGGATGATCTGCGAACGATGAATCCGAAAGGATTCCAAAGGAAGTTACCGTGGCGTATCAAGGTGTTATATCCTAGTGATTGCATCAAGGGACTGAAGAAAACTACGAAGAAAGGATGGCTGACGTCTTGACTGAGAACCTCCAGAATTCAAGCCTTGAGTGTTACAGCTACACCAAAAGCTTGGTGGAACTAAATGGAGGTTAGTGGTAGGTTTCACTTTCCGGCTTCTTTACCCTCCCCCCACCAGAGAAAGATCCCCCATTAGCAGTTGGATAGGGGTCAGGGCCCCAAAGCGGCTCCGGTTAGGATAGAAGAGAGAAAAATATTTGCCTCTTCAGGAAATCGAACCCTGATTCTCTGTTCTACACGGATCAAACCCACGCCGCTGTGTGAGTTGTTACAACTCTGTTGCCTCGCAGAGGACTGAGCGTCAGGGGCTCTATGTAAGGTGAGCGGACACTCACGTCATGATGTACAGGGCTTTTAGCAGATTGAACTGCCTGTCTACCCGCCCCTCCCCCCACTATGCCGCGTTTCCCCTCTCCTAGCAGTGGTCCGGCGGAGAGGGGGCTGCACTAGCCATACGGAATAATTGAAGTGCCCCCAAAACAGAGAACAAATGCAAACTGTTTATATCAAGTGGAATCTAAAAATGTTTCCAATAGTTTCGTTCAACTAATATGATCGAACCCTACGAAGCAAATTTCTAGTTTTGAAGATTTCTGATAATGGCGGAAAAGAAACTCCACGAATCACCATATTTGGATTAACCGTTAATATTTGCTACTGTTTTAGTTTGATAAGATTCTGTTATTGTCTTTTATATGTCATTATATAGCGTGGAATTGCATGATAATTGATTAACTCTGTGTTCTGGTGTCTTGTAAAAATTGTATTCTTTATAGTACAAAACAAAAGGAAACTCCGTGGCCTGTAGTCCGCAAGCGAACCATACCGATCGAGCGACCGCCGATTGTCGGCAAAGTTAGTGCCAAACTTAGGTGATAGAGGGTGTCGCGTGGTCAGCGCAACGGATCCCCACGGCCGTTAATCTCGGTTTCCTAGAGCGGAGCCGCTATTTCCTTGAAATAGCTCCTCAATTATCCTCACGAGGCTGAGTGGACCCCGTTCCAGATCCATACTTTTCAGAAAATCTGGTAGCGCCGGGAATCAAACCCGGGACCTCTGGATCTGTAGCCAGGAGCTATGACCACTAGACCACAACGGCGGTCTTTTATTTATAATTCTAACAATTTGATTGCAACTTCTGTAGCATAAAAGAATCTATAATATGTATAGCATAATCTAATATATTTCTAGTTATGATATATTTCGCGTCAGGAAAAATTTGGTGATTTCAGTTTTATTTAACTTATTTTTTTAGTCGTTAGGAAAGTTGCTCCCGAAGCGTAAGAGTGCTCCTGTGGGAAATAGGGAGTCTGAATACGAAGTTTTACTTTACGAACTCTGTCCAGGAACGTAACTATTCGTAAGAGCGGAGACTGAATATAGTGCGTAAAATGAAGAACGTAGAAATGGGCTGAAAGTTTTTGATATTTCTGAGAATTTTCAGGTAATGGAATTCTATGCAACTCATATTTTTTTTTTTTTTCTGATTAATGTCAATTTACAATCTACTTGACACTGCAAGTAATAAGCAAATGTGATGGGTGCTTNAAGTTAGTGCCAAATTTAGGTGATAGAGGGTGTCGCGTGGTCAGCGCAACGGATCCCCACGGCCGTTAATCTCGGTTTCCTAGAGCGGAGCCGCTATTTCCTTGAAATAGCTCCTCAATTATCCTCACGAGGCTGAGTGGACCCCGTTCCAGATCCATACTTTTCAGAAAATCTGGTAGCGCCGGGAATCAAACCCGGGACCTCTGGATCTGTAGCCAGGAGCTATGACCACTAGACCACAACGGCGGTCTTTTATTTATAATTCTAACAATTTGATTGCAACTTCTGTAGCATAAAAGAATCTATAATATGTATAGCATAATCTAATATATTTCTAGTTATGATATATTTCGCGTCAGGAAAAATTTGGTGATTTCAGTTTTATTTAACTTATTTTTTTAGTCGTTAGGAAAGTTGCTCCCGAAGCGTAAGAGTGCTCCTGTGGGAAATAGGGAGTCTGAATACGAAGTTTTACTTTACGAACTCTGTCCAGGAACGTAACTATTCGTAAGAGCGGAGACTGAATATAGTGCGTAAAATGAAGAACGTAGAAATGGGCTGAAAGTTTTTGATATTTCTGTGAATTTTCAGGTAATGGAATTCTATGCAACTCATATTTGTTGCAAAAAAATGACTCCTCAGATTACACAATTGATAATTTCCATTAACATCCATTTGCAGGCTGTAACCTCTGCGCCCAAACGGACATCTGCAACCTCTTCATGATTTCTCTTCTCGAGTCCTTCCGGTGAGTAACATCAGTGAAACACATTCACTACAGTTTAATTGTTGTGTAATACTTTAGTAATTAAGACTGATGCAACTTCCATTTTTAATTAACAGGCTTGTCGAAAAATTTGTGGTGGTCCTCGACAGCACAGTCATTCTCAGATCCGAATCAAGCGATCATTCTCATCTTGAATTAACCGGAGTCTCTCCCCGTTTCTTTTAATATAAGCTTCCCCTGCGTTGTGTCGTGTTCTTTCCCGGTTGTACATGTTATTGAATAATACACCGAGGCCCACGTTTAACGCCCCTCCCACGAATAACACGCACAAATAGTTAATCATAAAGCATCTCCTTTGTGTAGTACGTATATTAAAGTTCACATGTCCACACCAAAAGATTATCAGTACTCAGGAAATAGACACGATATACTAAAACGACTGTTATATTTCGTGATATGCTGCATAAATTATGTTCATGCTGAGAGTTAACATGAAATTACGTAATAGCGATCACAATCTCACGCATAAAAAACTCTAATGTGTACGATTACATAATATTATATTAGCGAAAATACCTGAAGTATATGTATTGCTGGGGTTGGGCAACTGGACAGAAAATGAGAAGGAATTTTGTATACCCCTAATTGAAGGTGCCCGATGACGTCTCCATTTCGTGACGTCATATTCCATCCTCTCCCTCGACATTGAAGAAACTAGAAAAATATACCGTGTAGAAAATGTTATGTTTTAAATAAAACAACTTGATGACACAGTAAAGAAACGAAAACGCCATGTTTGAAGTTTCCTCCTTCTGACCTGAGGCAAGACGATAAGTTGGGAAAAAACATTTCTTAACTCCACCTTGTTCATGGAGTCGTATATGTTGATGCCATCTGCGCTCGTAAAAAAGAAATATTTTCGTATCCGCCTGAAGTGAAAAGAAATGACTAAGTGCGTATGTGTTTGACCATTAAAGATTTCAATTAATTCTATGAGGATAGGCCCCATACTGAAAATTATTGTCTCCTGCAAAGTGACACTGTTTTCGCTGGTAGATGTATAGCTATATTTCTAGGAACGGGCAGCATCCATTTTCACGGTATGTCACTCTAAAACAGTGGCTTTCAAGCTTCTCCAATTTGTGGGCCCACCTGCAGCACATATTTAATCCCTTCTCCCCCGGACGCTACAACCCAAGATGCACCTTGGCCTCTTTTACGATTCCTCGCAATTGTTTGCTGAGTCGTCTTAACCTTTCCCGTTCCGCTGCGCTCTATGGCATGAACTGTCTTCTCTCGCTCGGAAGCCGGGATCGTGGGTTCGGATCTGTTTCCTGTGAGGTACGAACTGAATTCTTATATATTATTTTATACACTGCCGGTCACGGTAGCCGAGCGGTCTAAGGCATGAACTGG